TTTTCAACTAATTTTTCTAGATATTTTTTTGTAATAATTTTAGATAAGTAGTTAAAAAAACAAAATAAAAAAAATATCTAGACATAGGTTTGTTTCGTCAAATAATTGGTTAGTTATAATTTTTTATACTGTAAAACATTTTGCTGGAATTTTTTTTATAAATGCACAAATTATTGCATTATTTTAAACTTTTTTCCTATCCTAAAGCCCAGTCTATATATTTATTACATGGGATTTACCCCTTGTCTTTTCAAATGTAGGGTATCGTATTTGAGTTCGTTTTTAAAAGTAAGTAGACCGCAATGTATATAAAATGGAAAGCTGCTTGTCTAAGCCCATATTGTTTTTCATTTTCAAAAGCAATTTTATATTTTAATGATTAATCTGCAGATTTCAGAACTTAAAAAGGATTTTAAAAGTACTTATTAAAGCTGGAGAAATAAACTGGAGAAGTATCTTTTTCTGATTCTTTAGTATAAATTTTATTATATTCAAATTAATATGCAAATTTAAGATATGTAAAAATTTAGAAGAACTAGCAGTACATTTTCATGTAATAGCTGGAAAATGTAAATAGTGAGCTTAAATAAATAGAATATTCTTTAGATTGCTTAGTAAATGGCAAAACGTAAAATGATGTAACCATCAATAAGGAATTTTATGACAACAGTAGTCAAATGACATTAGAACTCCGAACTCGGTCCTAATTAAATGCAATGAATGCAAAATTTTGACTACCACTAACATCAAATCGACTTCACTTTTCGGTGCTAATTGTCTGTGACTAATGTCGATAATTTGGCGTCATCCAGGTTAGGTGCATAAAAGATTCAATTTAATGATCATCTATCGATTGTGCAAAATAAAATAAAAAAATGTCGGAGACTGATAAAATTTATACTGACGCACCCATTCCATATGTTTGTTATTAACATATTATACGTGGGAAAGGTTTCCGATTTTAAGGTATGTTTTATTCATGTTAAAATAATAGTATCGCATCATTAAAACATTTAAATATTCTTTATAGTACTACGCTTGTATTAACATCGAATATTTCTATGGGGAAACTCGTAACTTCAGCCATGTATTTTCCCTCGAAAACAACTTTATAGGTTGTCCAATGGATGATGGTGTACAATTTAATGTTCCTGTTTTTAAAGTGTTACAATTAGCCCTTTCAGGTTTCCTTTTCCATAAATTCTTCTATTCCTTACTATCCTTGAATGTATCGCAGTAATAATTATTACCTTAAAATATTGACCTCTGGAATTTATCTAGGGCATAGTTCACGGCCTAGACTTGACCGATGGCCAAGAGACTAGGTGTGGTGTTGGCTTTTCATTTATATTATTTTTATTGACAGTTCTTTTTATATTTATTAATACAGCATTTGAATCTGAATTGAACATTCTAATGCTTATTACGAATTCATATTTTTTCAACGTGAACGATTTTACCGAATTGTTGTAGTATCCAAGTGAAATCAAGTACAATAGAAAACAGGAAAAAGAATTACTCTAAAATTACCCTATTTTATGCGAAAAAAACAATTAAAACTCAATTAGAATGTCATACTTCTGATAATATTGGGTTTCTAATAATTTTTAATTTATGTTAGTAATTACCAAAAGCGCAAACCAAAGTTAATTAAATTTTTCTTTTTTAGAAATTACAACTACTTCATAACAAAACAGTAAATTTATCAAATTTTTAAAAAATTGGAATTTGTTTCTACATTAGTTACACATTGTTTCCAATATTACATATTTTTTTTAACATTTATAAACCCCGTGCACCACGCAATGTATAACACGGGTGCATACAACACAGACAGAAGAAAGGATTACAACACAAACATCCATGCCTTCTCCGGGATTCGAACCCAGTCCCTACGGCACCGCAGTCAGCTTCACTGACCACTGTAGCGGATGGGCGACAATATTAGATATTGTTGCATGTTTTATCATGTGATACGTATGAAAGACGAGAGTTGAAAGAACATAAACAAACAATACAAACACAGAAGAATATAGACTTTTGTATTTCAAACGATAATCCCAGCATGGAACAGAAGGGGTGCGCTGCTTTCCATTCGAAGACTGGAATCCATTTCAGGTGAAAGTCCGACTCCTTTTCCGGAAGATATATCCATGCCTTATTTGGGATTCGAATCCGAGCCCATTCCATTACAAGCCGAGAGTCATAACCATCATACTGACTGGGGGGCATTACATAACGTCAACGAGGAAATAATATGCATGTGTGATTACATGCAGTATTCGTGTTTCTATGTTGTATATAGAGTTTTTATGAGCAAACTTTTTTATGTACTTCCACGTATTATACTGCCGTCCAATATCGCTAAACGAAAAAACATCGTCAATTCAAAAAATGTCGCCAAAATGCTGTCATCGTTATTGTGTTTGAACGTGTTCCACTATTGGTTGTATATCACAGCATTTGGCGACGTTTCTCGATTTGACGAAATTTGTCAATGGTATAAAACTTTATTTTTATTCATGGATAATCAAGATTCTATTGTTTATACAGTCGACTCTCGCTAATTCAAACTTTCGATAATGCGAACCTCTCACTAATTCAAAGTATATGCTCAGCCCCTAGAAAAACTCTTGATATTTCGAACTAAAACAATACGGTTTGGTATACTCAATATTTCGAAGTAAAATCTGTGGCTGGCCAAACTACAATACGCAATGATTCGAAGTTATCTTACAAAACTCTCCACAATTCGAATACTTACTATTTAGAGTATTGTAGCAAATAGGTTGGAGTTCACACGTTTTGTGTTGTATCGTCTTTGCATGCCTACCCTGTAATGTAACCTCTTTGATGATCATCTGTCTGTCACCCCTTCTTTGTGTTTCCCAGTTCCTCAGGCGATTATTGTATTTTGCTTTGGACTGACATAATGATTTATGGCTTATCTGTGTGACTTATACCATGTGGCCCCAAATAGGGCACGGGTTCGACTGGACCCTTCCTTGAAGAACCAATAATGTTGGCTACAGTGCCCGAGGGAACCAGGTGAGAAACGATTTTGTTTTCAATGAGGAATAGAAGAGATTTGGTGGGGCGTGAAAGAGTCCTGTTCGAGAATTACTATATAAATGTATTAATTTAATACATGGCTTTTAACTTTTGTATAATATTTATACTGTATAATATGTGTAATTTTTTAAAATATTTTAAAATAATTTAATACATATGTTAAATGTGTTGGAAAAAAATTCTAAAATCATTTCTTCCTCTCTTGATAATACGAAATTTATTATTGGTCCATTCAATTTCGAATTATTGTGAGTCGACTGTATATAAATAAGCAGATTTTAATTTTATCAGGACGTTCTTTGTGGTCAAACCGGGCGCACACTCGAGGTCGACGTTATTTCTGGCGAATTATATGGTTTAAATATTGGTAGAGCTCTAAATATCACGTGCAGTGTACGTGCAGAGAGCTTAATGAACGTTAAACCTGTCACAGTTGAATATCATCAATCAGGCGTGGAGTAAAAATCTAGTGTGATGTGCCAGAGCTCAGGTGTCGCTCATGTCACTGGATAATAGCTCAAAATTATGAGGTCCATCATATAGCTCCAGTATATCATCTGAAATCAATGCGTAAAATTATCGCCAAGAATTCGATTGAAAACGTATCTTTCCGAAGTTATTTATTCTAGATGCATTCAACAGCCCATCAAAATGAAATCCAAACGTTTACTCTCCTCGGAAGCCATTGGAAATGTAAATAAGTAGATCATTCTCTCCTCCAGTACGTATGTCTATTTGGAAAAGAGATAAAATGTTAGTGATTCGAATAAATAAAATCATGCTTCAATGGTACTCTTTGACTTAATATAATTCCTTTCTTCGAGTTCAGCATTTGGTGATGGATATCGTAGGTTTGAATCGTATTCAAATAAAGATGACACTTCATTGACGCTCATACTTCATTGTCCTAACTTCAAAACCAGCAAGTAACATGCAAAAAAAAATTAAGGTATCCGACTGGTTGCGACAACTTTTTTTTAAAAAAAAGGAGGTATGGGGATTTTTTTGATATTTTTAGATTTTTTTTAGGTGCATTTTAAGAAAAATGTGCTAAAATTAAGAAGAGAAAAAGAAATTATTACTAAAATGGAAAAAAAAGGTAAAAATTGACAAAAATAGCATAAACGCGGCCCATTCTGCACCAAAGATTTATGAACAAATTTTCAATTTTTCAGCTCTAATGTGTTGCTATGTTATTCATTTTTGAAATGACCTTCAGGATAAGATAGATTTTAATTTTTACAAAAACTAGAGCACTTTATCTTAGTTATTATATGAAATTACTTAAAAAGACAGTGATTATATTCACATAAGGGACTGTAAATTTTGTAATAAAACTGTGATTGATAAATCTGAACGTTAAAATAATTCTACTATTATACAAAGTTTACAAAAAAAAATTTCAGTTAATTATGTTCAAAACTTTTTTAACAATCGCTGATCCCATTTGACTATTTTCAAAAAATCACATTTCGAGTAAAACGCGTTTTAACGTATGACATCTTGCTTAAAGTAATGGCATCTGCTTTTACTAAAACACTTGTAGTTTTTGTTCTAGTAAACGTAAAATAATAAACTTGGTATTTTTATAAAGCTAATAAGATAACCCATAAAATAAAATCATAAAAAATTTGGCAAAATCCACAGTTTTAGGGTACTCGGATACCTTAAGTCAGTTCTTACTTAAGTCAACAAGGAAATTTTTTTTTATTTTAGTTACTTTTTATTGAATAATTATGTTTAATACAAATATGTATATACATATGACACAATCACAATATTAAGGGGCAAAATAGAAAGCGATTTTCCATATCCCTTTCTATGTAAGGTTTTGGACTATTATTTTTGTTTGTACTATTTTTAATTAATTTAATTATTCCAATAAAGTAGTACAGTAAAAAGAAAACACTTTTTCATAAATTAGGCCTTCCCAGGTGGGATTCGAACCCACGACATTTGGATTAGAAGTCCAAAGCGCTATCCATTGCTTTCCCTCAGTGGGCTCACCTTTAGGTGAGTACGGGTATCACAATCCCGAGGTGCCCTAGTGATCTTTTCCTTTTCCCACGGGGTTTACTGTCTTTGGTAAACACGGGCTTCACGAACCCGGGGTACCCTAGTGATCCTTCTCTATTTTCGACCCTCTTTCTTGTCATTCAATTCATTCTTCTTTCTCTTCCCGTCTAGACCACAGATATTAAAACAAATGTTTGGCGCAGTATAGCCGAAATCGACTCTTGCGCCAATAAACCCCAAATCACTCACTCGCTATCCATTGCTCTACAACCGGGTGGGCATTGAGTCGATCGCGATCGACCAGTGGACCGCCAAAACAATTTAGAGTGTCCGCCTGAAGATTAGCCTTTAGTAATTGTATACGGAAGTATTCAAGATTGGCTGGCAGTATGCAGACTTAAGTCTTCTACTAACTCTAATTACAAAAACTAACTTTAGATGAAATGTTTTATTTTTTAAAGTATTTTTAATTGTTTGATAATAAGTGCATCATTAAATATTATATTTGTGGCTATTATTTCTATGTTTGTATTTTGCGTTTTGCTTTAAACGCGGTTTGAAAAAAGTGAGTTTTTCCATTTTATTTACCTAGTAAGCACATATCCCGTATTTATTATTACGTTATAAAAAAAAATATTGTTGATATTTTCGTTACCTTACCACACCTATGACCCTGGGCAGTGGGTGCACTCGTGAATTTTTCAAATTAGGCGTGGGGTGGTGGTCCAGGGTCGAATGTCTACCATCCTCATATTTACCCCCCCCCCCCAATACACTAGCAAACATATTTTTTTTTTTCATTTTGTAGATTGTTGGGAGCAAAGAACAGTAAGAAATAAATTATTGAATAAACAATTAGCATTAATTAATGAAAAAATTATTCATAACAAATACTTAATTAAATTTTACATGGGATTAATAATCAATCGAAAACAATTATGGGCTATAGAGGAGGGTTTGGAACCGTGGACCCTCCCCCCCCTTTTGTGAGGGTCACTGATACTAAGTGGACCGCAACACCTTAAAAAAAATTAGAAGTAGCCCGTACCCAGGAAAAGTCTGCCCACCCCTGCTCTACATGGACACAACGAGCGATTTTTTTTATATATGGTGTTGGACTATTTTTGTTTGTTACTATTTATTCATTAATTAAATAGAATTAAAGAATTAATATTTGAAAATACTGTATTAACATCAAGTGTCATCCACTACAAGTTTTAAAAAATGTATTTGATTTTGAGTGGATGAATAAATAGTATTTTATTAACGATTGAAAATTTGAACAAGATATGTAGGGAGTGTGAACTAATAGAAGGAATTGAAAAAGGGTGTAATTGAATTTATATAACATAGTCTTCCTTATATTCTACTTATAATTATTTCAGAAAGTAGATTAGATCTACAAAGCTCATCGCAAACAATACTTTTTTGGATATTAACGCAATATTTGTAAATTATATTGAGATAATTTGGATTAAATGAAAAAAAGGATTGGCAATTTGGGCTACTTAAAAATAAGATTACTAAATTAACTTAAAATTGTATTGGAGTAATTTTAAAGAACAAATTCTAAAGTTGGAATAATTTTTTTTTCAGATAAAATGTTATCTAACAGCACACAGTGCTATTCTTTGATGTCATTATTCTGTAGAGAACAACATGATTTATTGCACTTTATCTCAAATAATCTATTTTTCCGGTATGAAGTGTTCCATATTTCCTCTCTTATGAACTAATACAAAATGAGTTTTTACTTTTACACGTATTATACCGACGACGTATTATACCGAATCAAAAACATTGCTATATGTAGCGATATGCAGCCAATAATGGGAACCATTCCCGTGCATATTCAAATAGAATAATAATAGTAATGGCAGAGCATTTTGCGATATTTTTTGAATTGCTACCTTTTGATTTGGCGAAATTGGTCGACGGTATACTACGCACGTACCGTTATTTTATTTTAAAGGGGAAAATTCCCTTTGCTTACATTTGAGCGTTTTCAAACTTGAAAACATAGTTGTGTGTTTGGAATACAGTATTACGAGTTTTTGTGAAAATGTAAACATTTTTCTGTACTTTTCCGTTTTGGGGGGTGTAAAAATGTAACAAAAAAAAATCGCCAAATGCAGTAAAAACTTATTAATTGTGGTAAATTTCATAATTTTCATATATTTATGTTTATAATTCCTCATTTCATATGTTTGAGTGCTTATGACGTATATGCAGAAAGACAACTTTAAAAAAAAATTGTTTGGTGTACATGGCAAGAAATGAATTTAACCTTCGCACCCCCTCCCCCCGAAACAGAAGAATGTAATGTCTTTATTGTTTTCTTTTCACTTTCCGACACGGCACGTCGTATCAACAAAACAGAATTCTCTCTTTTACAATACAGCAAAACACAAGCGCAATCCACCGCGCTCCTAAAACGAGGGATGCTCTCTTCCCCGACCGTCACCTTCGAGGGTCAATCGCCATCTCCCTAAAAAACAGTAACACAGCGCCTACGTCGCGCTAAATAGAGCCAACATTCCATAATCTCCCTCCATCTGTAGTTAGACACTACAGAGAAGTAGTTATTTTTCTGTTGAAAAAGTATTCCGAGTTCAGTTGAGGCTATTACAATTCACGGAGTCAGCAATTATCACCAAAAAAGACTTTTTAAAATCGAGCGGGTTAATCGTGTATAAAAAAAGGTTGAATAAAATTGTTATTGAACCAAGCAATCATACTTAGCGTGTATATAACTCATACTTTATTTTAACCAAAAAATTCTATGCTTTTATGAAACGTTCTAATTTGACGATAATTTAATTAAGCTTTAATCTCAAAACACATTAAAAAACTATCTTTCCATTGTAAAGACATATTTAAATAAATTTTATTTAATTAAATATTGCTAGCAGTTTTATATTAACCAGTCTTGTGTATTTATGTACATTCAATCAACACGAATCTCGTATTCTATTTAGAAGAATAAAGTGATTTTATTGGATAAGTAAGAAAAGGCTAGTACTTTAAAAATGATGCGCAAGTCTATAGTTGAACACTTTGGTATAATTTGAGGGGTACGTAGATATATAACAAAAGAATAAGCAAATAGAAATCGTTTGATCCTAATATGTGGAAGTGGGTACGTTGACTTTTATAGTCTATTCATTGATTTCAATAAGCTTTTGAAAGGGTATATAATTTTTTGAAGAATCTGTTTTCTCAAGTTCTTTGTTTTTCGTAATAAAACTAAATGTTTTCAGACATATTTCTCAGAAAAAGTATGTCTGAAGTTTCTCTTCTATGTAAAGTAATTTGCATTTTTAATTTTTATGTTTTTTGAGCCTTTATTTCTTAAAATACAATTTTGTTGCTAGATCAATTTTTCAAATGGGGCTTCAGATTGATATTTTATCATTTTAGACCCAGTACATTCTGCGGGAGCTGCTATCACTTTTTAGTGCGGCACCATAGAAATGGATACTAATTCCTCAATGTAATTTTGACTCATAATTCTTCCCCAGAGAGAGGCACCTGAGCTCTGACGATGTGAAACTGAACATGGAATTTAATTTTGCCGCGAGAGCCCAACCCTAACAGGCACTCTTAAGTTTTTTAACAGGCCGTATATAATCATACGACATGGACGCTGCCAATTTTCTGCATCATGAAAATCGACATCGCAACCTTCGGCTTAAAATTCCAGAGCCGAACCAACTATTTCATCTAGCCGGCATTGCTAGATCTTATGTTTCTAAATTCCTTATATTCTAGAATTTGTAAGATAAAAAGCTTCATCATAAGTTCCCCTGTTAAACGAACATTTTGACGAAATAAAAATTAAATTATTCATACAAACACATTACTCCATTTGTAATATAAATTATCGACAAAATAGAGACAACAATGTGCTTCATCTTATGGAAAAAAACTTATGTAAATGAATGTTAAACGTATCAATAGTTATACTGATTTTAACAAAACATAATCAATTATATGCAAAGATTGGGAAACATATGCTCCAATAACAATACATAACTTCATTCCAATCCAAAAAATTATTTGAAAAGTTTTATAATTGATTGTATCTTGCAAAAGTACAAATCCTCGTCGAGTCAATTGAAAATAGGTTTTAACACAATAAGAACATAAATGATTGACTACGTAATCGATGCATTGTATTTGAGCAATTTTTTTAAATAACAGAAACAAGTAATATAAAAAATTAAGTCAATTCCTACTTAGGTCAACAAAGAAAAGCTTTATTTTAGTTACTTTTTATTAAATAATTATAATTAATATAAATATGTATGTACATATGACAGAATCACAATATATTGGGAAAATAGAAAGCGATTTTCCTTTCTATATATGGTGTTGGACTATTACTTTTGTTTGTTACTGTTTATTCTCATTAATTGAATTTAATTATTCCAATAAAATCGTATATTAAAAAATTACAGTTTAAAAAATACTAAAAAACATTCTTTTGTGGTTAGTCGAACTGGGTTGTGATTTGGTCTTTTAGTCGCCAAGTCGCCGGGTGCGGAGTGGAGTCTGAGGATGAGGGGTCGTTGGTCCTGGTGATCCTGATCAGGATAGTGGAGGAAGTTTGTCGAATTATTGTATTGACATTGGTCTTGGGCGGGATTTCGAGTTGGTCTGACCTTTTGGAGTGGGTGGAGGCTTAGTTCAGGGGTTCTGTTGCATACAGGTGAGGATTGTGAAGGGGCGTTAAAAAGAAATAACATTCTCAGAGGTTTGGCCGTCCCGTATGGGATTCAGGCCCATGGTCTCTGGATTGAAGGTCCGGCGCGCTGTCCATTGCGCTGAAGGGGCACAAGGAGCTATTTTCCGATTTATGAGTGGTGTTGGACTTTTTTGTTTTTGTTTGTTACTATTTATTCATTCATGAAATATAATTAATGAATTAATATTTGAGAAAACTGTACTACTACTACAAGTTTTTAAAAAATGTAATTGAACTTGAGTGGATGAATA